CGGAGGGAACTTTCTTGCAAGGGAAGAAGTTGGTTGGTTGTTGAAAGGCTGTATTCGTTTAGTGTTTTATTGTTGGTATCGCTGTTGTAGTGCCATCAGATAATAATACTGCATTTTGTTTCATTAGTCAAATTATATTTAGTGTTATATTTAAGATCGACATGTATGTTATGTTTTATTATGATGCCTTCATTTAGTATGAGTGTGATTTCTTTATTTTTATTATTATTTTTTTATGGATAGACATTAAGCTTTAAAAAAAAAAAAGTGCAAGAGAAGACATATATTTGTAACAAATAGAATGATTATACATTAACTAAGCAATATTGAAAGTCAATTAATAAGGTAACAAAACGCCTTTATCACTCCCCAGTGGCTGACCATCACACCAGGATTCAAGAACAAAAGAACGAAGCCGTGGAAACAGCGTCTCAAGTGCCTCGCCCTCTACCGAAGCTGAGGTCCCTAAGCCCCTCGTGTGGTTAGCGAAGTCACGGAATATCGTCGGAGATCTCAGCCCCGGGACTTCCATCACGCTAACGAAATTCTCAATGTCCTCTCTCTCGGATAAGCCCGTTGCGGCCACGAAGACCGAGTCGGCGTTCGAGAAGACGGCGCCACCTAAAGATACCAACGATGTGGAGCCAAAGTCGGCAACAGAGTCTCTGTTTGGTCCTTCGGCAGAAGAGGAACCGGCGCCGCAGACGGAAATCCCGGCGAAAACCTCGACAGCTGAAGCGGATCCTGTCACAGATTTTGTCTACGAGCCATCGCCTGAAGAACCCATACCTGTGACAGATTCTGTGTTCGTAAGCCAAGTGGAACCTGAAGTGCCACAGAAATGTTTGAGTCTGCTTTGGTTGACGTAGTTCCAGCAACAGGGCTGTGTGGACCCATCCACAGAAGAAGCCAGTCCCGTAATATCTATTTCAAGCAAGTCTTCGTCCGCGGATCTTGAACAAAGATCAAAAACCCACACTGAGTCACCAGTGGTTATTCCAGCAACAGGGTCAACGGTAGAAATAGCTCCTGAGGACTTTAATCCACAAACAGAAATCCTTTTCGAAACCGCGTCTCCTGATCCTGTAAAAGAACGAGAGGAACAGACAGATCTCACATCACATGCACTTCCCATTACAGAGATACCATTTGAGTATCGTCAGTAGAACCAGAACCGATTACCGAAACGTTGTTCAAATCTCTGCAAAAGCCTCCTCCAACAACAGAATCTATGGACGAACTATCTCAGGACTTCACGCTGGAGAATGAAACTGACTCTGTGCATGAACATCCGAGGACCTCCGATGCTGTACTAGAGACAGAACTCCCAACAACGCCTTTATTAGATACTGAGTTGTCATTTGATAGTCACGAAAATATTATTCCAAGACAGAAATTCCACATGTGGGTCTGCAGAATATATCCCAAGACTAAGATTGTAACTGAGGCACCTTTAGAAACCCTCCCAGAAATCCCCAAGTTGAATATGTTACGAATCTCTCACCTCTGGAGTCTATAGTAACTGACAACACTCATGATGGTGTTACAGTTGAGACAGAGACCCAGCTCGGAAATGCTAATGAGACCAAAGACACACCGGAGGAACTCGGTCACTCTCTGGACATTGCAGGAAGAGAACATATCCTGCCCCAAAACACAATAGTTAAAAGTGTCGACTCGGAGGACGTCCTTCTGGCAGAGAGTCAACAAAATGTTATCCACAAATACCTGTGGCCACAGAAGAAGTCAACATTGCTTTGCTAGATGTGTGGAAGGAAGCTCTCAGCCACAGTGAAACCAACTCATCAGGAGCTGTAACAGGTAGAGAGCATTTCATAATCTTGTATCCAATAGATTTTACTTGGCTAAAGTTTGACATAAATGTCTTAATTGCGGTTGAATAGTCTTAAATTCTATTTTCATTTCAGGTTACCTAGTACTATTTTGTCTCCTGATTACTTCACAATGGTAAACTTAGTACCCCAAGATGCCCACATCCATTGTATGGGGACACACCTGAAGTAGCAGCTCTTCGTAAAGAATTCCTCTTAGACTACCTGGTCTTGGAGCCCTTCGATTCCAGATCCTAGAATGATACAACCTGAAGGACTTGCTGTTTCCAACCTAGGCGGGAAGAACTCGTATTCTACGTGGATACTAATGGTTTGTGTTTACATAACATTATGCAATGCAGGCCTTGAGAATGACGTTTTCTGTCTAATATATAACATTATAAGGCTTGGATAGCCAATGCTAAATCCACACATGTAAGAAAGCAATCATTTCCAGACAATCTGACTGTCAATGGAGTATTAGTTGAAGACTTCAATATCTTATCCGATGGGACGGTGTCTTCACCCTCTCAGACTTCTTGTTCGATCACCGCCAAGTGATTGACGAGATCCTTCAAACACTTCAAGAAATGATGAAGGATTATTCTTCCAGGAACATGGTAACTTTAAAGAGGAATTTGAGTTCTTTTATGCTCTGTTGTAACCTACTGGCATTGTTTAGTTTATTCACTGATAGATGCTTAGAAAATTTTCCTCTGAATTATCTTTCTATCTTTTAATCCACCGGTCATTCCACTTTCCATCCCCCCTTACATTTGTTTCTGTGTACATGGAATATGTCCCAAAAATAAATTGAATTTATATTCTTCAAGAGCTGGCATCTGTTCTGAAGTGACAACAAGTACAAGTGAAACATCAGAAGCACGAAGAAAGAAGAAATAAACACATATTCAGCAACGGATGCCCCAAGTACGACCAGCTTACCAGTTGCTGTCGCAAAAGCCGTGGTTTCTAAGGACTCATCCTTTAACGAAGTAACGATTCCTGCAGAGCCAGTCCCAGCTAAAGAACCAGGTTTCACTACAGACAAGGCATTGGAAGTAGAAGAAATTTCCACAGGAACCGAAAACCTAAATCCTCCTGAAGATATTGTTAATACCACAGATATACCACAGCATCACACAGAAGAGCAGGACACAACAGGACAGACTTTCGCATCCGAAGAATCCACAGGTCTTACAGAGCCTCTCCTGACGTCCCCCAAATTCCACAGCTTGTCGAAGAAGGAGAGTCCTCTTCGCTCCTGAACTTATGGCGTCCGCTCTAAGGCATCAGGACGCCGCAGCTACACTCAGGATAATAGAGGTAGGCTTATCTTGCACCATCTAGTTTAACTTTCAAATAAGTTCTACGACTTATTTGAAAGTTTACCTACATATAAATATAAACACATCACATATTAACAAATGACCATAAAGTATTCCACATTAACAAATGAAGTTAAAGTATTTCACAGACTAGCAGATGAATATAAAGTATTTCAAAGATTAGCAATGAACTTAAAGTATTTCACAGATTAGGAGATTAATATAAAGTATTTCACAGATTAAAAAATAAATATACAATATTTCACAAATTAACTCATACCAAATCTCTTCTCCCACAGAGCCCAAGACCCTCATTTCTCCAGACTACTTCATCGTCATGAACCTGGTGCCCCAAGACGCCCCTCACCGCTGTACGACGACGCCCCTGAGAACGTGCTGCTACGAACGGAATTCCTGCTCGACTACCTGGTCCAGGACCCGATCAACGTCCAAGATCCCGAAATATCCTCGCCCGAAGGAATCAGTGTGCCAACCTTGCCGGGAAGAAGTTAACCCTTTGCTGCCGATCCTCAAGGTACGTGCATGCGGAAAAGACGACACTAGTGGCCGGTTTTTTAAATTGTGCGAGGCAAGACCCAGTAAGTATCCACATCTACGGACATGGATATACTCGGAAATATATGCATATCTATCGTTAGAGTTGCATATCTACCAGATAGATAAGTTGGATATATATTTATTAATATATAGATATGTATTTATTTCTGTGTATATGTTCGTATTTATAGATATTCATAGGTACGGGCCATGTGTATATCAATTGCTTTTTCTGAACGGTGTCAGATGTGTTAGGTGATGATATATGTAGATTTATTTTTCATTCTTTATTTCAATTCTGGCACGAGATTATTATTCATCGTATTATCTGCCAGAAAAAAATGAAATTCTGTTCCATCTTTCAGCGTGCTAATGAATATATCAGTAGTATAATACTTCTAATGATGATAAAGACAATGATGGTAGTAATGATAATGATAATGATGATATTAGTATTATATGATAATAGTACAGTAATGATGATAATGAGAATGATAATGTTGAAAATGATAATTATATTAGTAATGATAATAATGATAATAGTAATTTGATTATAATAAAAAGAAACTAAGTAATAGTAATAGTAGTGATAATAAATGATAATGATAACAATAATAACTAACTCCTCGACTCCTCAGGCAAGATCAGCATCAACGGGGTCCCTGTGGAGATGGTGGAGATCCTCGAAGACGGCACGCAGGTGTACACGGTGGAGGATCTGCTCTTCACCACAAAGCTCGAGTGGATGAGGCCTTCTTCCACCTCGTCAGCCAGCCTGCCGAGTTTGGTCCACTTGGAGAGCCCTTGGGTGGGTGTGGATTATGTGGATTTGATTGTTTTGGTTTAGATTATGTGGATTAGTTTATGAGGATGTTATGTGGATTAGATTGGGTTGGATTAGTTTATGCGGATGAGGTTATGTGGATTAGATTGGGTTGGATAAGATTATGTGGATTGGATGATGTGGATTAGTTTATGCGGATGAGGTTATGTGGATTAGATTGGGTTGGATAAGATTATGTGGATTGGATGATGTGGATTAGTTTATGCGGATGAGGTTATGTGGATTGGATTGGGTTGGATAAGATTATGTGGATTGGATGATGTGGATTAGTTTATGCGGATGAGGTTATGTGGATTAGATTGGGTTGGATAAGATTATGTGGATTGGATGATGTGGATTAGTTTATGCGGATGAGGTTATGTGGATTAGATTGGGTTGGATAAGATTATGTGGATTGGATGATGTGGATTAGTTTATGCGGATGAGGTTATGTGGATTGCATTATGCAGATTAGTTTATGTGTTTGATTTGTAGGTCGTGGTTTAAATTAGGTGGTTTAAAAGTGGCTTCTCGGTTCATGAGCGTGGTTGAACGTGGATGATATGATGAATGGCTGTTCGATTCGTATGTGTAGTTTAGTTTAGATGATTAAGTTGCTTGTATATCTAAATGCGTAGTTCAGTCCTGATGATGTAATAGTTGTTAGATCTGTGTGCGTCGTTCAGCATATGTGATGAAGACAATACATACTCGTGGTTCACTTCGATTGCGTCACCGTTGGAATGGTCACTTCGCTCATGTTTTGAAGTGACCTGATTTTTTTTTCAGTATCATAAATCAAATTTTCTAAGCATATGTTCACAAAACAAATTTCTCCTTTTTCCCCCTGATGGCTAATGTCATGAATAATAAATCATGTAATAGACGGATTGTAATTACAGCCATTTTATTATACTTCCAGCATTTTCAGTAATCCCCATTTTGCCACCGACCTACAATCCTTCTCAAAGCATTCTCTCTCCTCCAAACTCCACCCACAGACATCCCTGCGCCTCCTACTCCTACGAAGGACTTCCTGGACACGCCCCTGCCAAGGATTCCTCACCAGGTGGATGCTGAGGACTCGTCTTCACTCCTCAGTCTCTGGCGCCATGCCCTCAGGGAGCAGGAACCCTCTCTGGCGCTCAAGGAAGACACAGGTATTACTGGGATAGGTTTCGTCTCCTAGGATTGTAGGATTTTTTTTCTATCCTATCATGAAGGATTTTCTTCAAGGGGAGTTTTTATATGAAGTATTTCATGGCAGTGTATCTTTAATCGTGAAGTATTTTCATTAGAGTGGATTTTCTTTTTTATTTTATTTCATCACAGTGTGTTTTTTCATGCATAAAATATTTTCACTACAGTTTTTTGGACCATAATAAATGCATAAAATGTTATCACTACAGTTCATTGGACCATCATAAATGCATAAAATATTTTCACTACAGTTTTTTGGACCATAATAAATGCATAAAATGTTATCACTACAGTTCACTGGACCATAATGAATGTATAAATTTTTCACTGCAGTTTTCTAGACCATAATAATGCATAAAGTATTATCACTGCAGTATTTTTTTTTCTACCAAAAAGCATTTTCCTTAGAACACCCTTTCTAAACCCAGACCACAACGCCCCTTTTTCTCTCCCCCCCCCCCTTTTTAGTCCCCAAGACCATCCTATCTCCCGACTTCCTTGAGATGGGCAACTCGTTCCCCAAGACGCCCCTCACCCCCTCTACGACGACGCCCGAAGAACGTGGCCCTCCGGAACGAGTTCCTGCTGGATTACTCGTCCGGGATCCTATCAACGTGCAGGATCCCAACATCAGCTCTCAGGGGGGCATTAGCGTCACGAACCTCGCCGGGCATCAGCTGTCCTTCGCAGCGGATTCTGAAGGTTGTTGTTGTTTGTTGTTGGTTGGATTCTGTGTTTGTGTGGGTTGTGTCTTTGTGGATGTCGTGGTTGTGTATGGGGGTACTCCTGTTTCGTCAGTTATTTTCATCTTTCTTTATTTGTGTTTACTTTTGTCTCGTATTATTATTGTTATTTTTTCAATGTTATCTTTATCTCCAGAATGATGAAATGCTACATTTGTATGTTAAGTTATTCCTTTCATGTTTATTTTGTCTCGTATGATATTAATCGTTTCAATGTTACCTTTCTCTTCAGTATGAATAGACACTACATCGGCATTAAATCATTCATATTTGTGCTTAA